CTCTCTCTCTCTCTCACTAGACAAGCTCTTGTTTCTCTTCCCTCACCCTCTCTGACTCTCGTGCTGAAGCTTCCCCATCAGGTGGATGCATGTAGCTCCCTGAAGAGCTGCGAGATGAATGCCTGCCTCTGTCAGGTCCAGTTGTTGAGGTTTAGCTCCACGGGAGCAGTGAGTCACTTTCCTGGCCATCTCTGTTACTCAGTTGGCCTGCTGGGCGACAAAAAGTAGACAGTGTGAGGAGATCAGTGTGTAAGGTCCTGCTGAGAGGCTCTGGGAGTCCTGTGGGGTCAGCCCCGGTGACGCCTGCCAGCTCACTTCCTGCACAAGATGCAGGGGAAGCACTCAGCCCAGCAGGTGATAAATGGACACCCATGACCTTGGCCGGTGCTGGTTTGCTACTTTAGCACCTTGGCAGAGCCCTTCCGGGCTCCAGTAATCAGGCGGCACAGCACTGCTTTGGTCACCGAACCTGACCCGTGTCCACTAGTCCACCCTAATTTCCCGTCATCCAACAGCCCCTTCTATCAGCAAAGTTTCAGTAAATCGTTTTTCATCTAGAACCCTGTGGGGATAAACTGCCTCGAAGCAGACAATAGGTCTACTTCAGGGGAGAATGTGTGTGGCCATCAAGTGCCAACACCACTGCACTTCCCCCTCTTGCAGGATTGTCAACAATTCCTGGAGCCCGGCAGGAAGCCTGAAAGGTTCCCCGGGAGCCTCTGGTTTTCTAAGAAAATTCCCAAGTGGATTCATTTCCTCATAATGGGTTCCTTATCATCACCTGGCTGGGCCAGGCCTCACGGCCAGGCTGCCAAGATTCCATCTTGTCCGTGCAGAAGCCACATGGACCAGTGGACCACTGGGGTTTTCAGGGCTGACGAGGCAGAGTGTGGAGCAGAATGGAATTATAAAGGCAGTGGGCTTTAACCCCCTTTCTTTCTAGTTACTAATTTCCTGTTTAGGTAACTGGGAGTTGGGATGGGAGGTAAGCTCAGCTCCCCGCCTCCTCGCTCATAGTCATAATTTTAGCCCATAAACCGGAGCTTCAGTTGAGTTTCCTTGCTTTGGGTCACGTAAGGAGAGTAAACTGATCCCTCGCTGCTGGTTAACCAACTCCACGCTCTCGACTGTCTTCTACTTTAGACGCTCCATCTTCAAATGTCCTGTTTAGTTAACTCCTGGTCGCTCAGTTTCCTGAAAGTTTTTCTCCATTTCTACGTGAGGCTGTGCGTAAGGGAGGCCAGGATGAGGAGATGACATTGAGGGCTTGGCAGAGCCCGGACACATCCCACTGCCCGGGTCCATTCTCAGGGTCAGGAGGCTCGTCCCGGATGTCCTTTGGATAATCTCTGCCAGCTGGTCACACATCACCATGTGAGCTGTTTCTAACCAGATATTACTAAGCAGTCTAAGATGCTCCTACGGCACTTTGGCAGCACAGGGACCAGCACTCAGCTGCTAACCCAGAGGTCTGTGGTTTGAACCCACCAGCTGCTCTGTAGGTGATAGAGCGGTCTGCTCCTGTACAGATTGCATGCTTGGGGACCCTGCCTGTCAGGCAGTTCTACCCTGCCCCCGTGGGGTCACTTGGAATCAGAATTGACTTGTTAACCAGAGCTTGGTTTGGCTGCCTTAATGTATCTGTGTAATTGAGACACTAAAACAGCTTAAAGGTATAGTAAAGAGCTTTAAAATTTTTTTTGTTGTTTTAAAATGTGCCAGTGCCTCGTATAACCTGTTCTCTCCCTGGCCCCTGCATGAACAGGCTGCTTTATCTTCTGTTTTATTCTGGCTGGAGGTGCTCACAACCTGCACTTACTCACCTAATCCTCCCTTGAAGCCCTCAGCTTCCTTATATTTTGGAGCCCAGCCTGAAAGCAGAAGGAAGCAGCCTCTTGTGGGGGTCGGTGGTGGTTACCGGCCTCCCTGTGAGTCTGGCGCCGACACCCCAGCTCTGTCTCACCTTCCAACAGGGCCTTTGCGCTCAAGCTGGGTCATACCCACCAGCCAGGCCCCAGATGGTTTTCTCATTGCTTCTGCTCTCCACCTTTGAAACTGTCAAAGTAAATCTGTTTTGAGGGAACAAGCAAACGAGATGACAAAGCCAGAAGGTGAAACACGCCTGCTCCCAGAACTCCCAGGATTCCACGTAAATGCCGTCCCCTGTTGTCCCCTCCCAGCAGAACTGTCCAGTTCGCCACCAGGACCCTACCACCAAGAGCCCTACGTCTCCAAACCCGAAGAGCGGTTTAAGGCGCCCCCCATCCTCCCTCCACATCTGCTCCAGGTCATCCTGAACAAGGACACGGGGATTTCGGTGAGTCACTCCCACCCAGGTTGGGTCCCCGGCCAAGTTGGGTCCCCTCTTGTTGACCAGCAGAGAAAACGCATTGTCCCTCCTCAGCGTTCACTGCTGGGGTGCACTCCTGACATGACACAGACCGAAGCAAGATGCTCGCCGAGTGTGGGGCACCCTCTCCCCATCTCACAGCATTCCTGCCTTGGTCTTTGTTTCACTCCCGCCTCCGGCTGAGCCCTGTCCCATTTAAGTTTTATGATAAAATATAAAACCACCTTATAAAAAAAACAGCATAGGTGAGAGGGTGGCGCCGTCTGACCTCGACTTACTTTACAAGGAGGAAGAACCCCCACCGACAGGGCAGCAGCCTGGAGCTGGTCCCTCTGCGGGCAGCCATGCCCCACACACCATGCTAAACCTTTTTTCCTGGTTCTTGCATGTGCTGTCCTTCCCATGATGCTCACTGCTCCTCTGGTGCCTTCACCCCTTTCTGAGACCACAGCTCCTGGGCGGTGCCGAGGGCCTCAGTGGACCCCTGGCAGGTGGCTCAGCTGACTGAGATGAGAACAGTGGTAGGACCCGAGCCCTCTGGCCTGGACATGTTTAGTTGTCAACATCTTAAACTGGCCCCAGGCAGAGAAATGGATGTCTGTTTTCTATCTTAGAAGCACACTGGGAAGATGATGCCTCGATTCTAATTTTATAAGACGTGCAGAGTAGATGGGCTATTAGATGCTCCCCCAAGCAGCTGACTTGTTCTGGTTCCTCCTTCCTGTTCTTTTGCTTCTGAGAGAAGAGCAGAGTCATTAGACTGCTTCTCTGATGGAGAACTGCTTCTGGGAACAGGCCAGACAGGAGAGGCCAAGGGGCTAGGGAATGGGGTTGGACAGCCTCAGGACCCTCCAGTGCGGGGAGCACAAAGCTCCAATGCAAACGTTAGTTACAACCCTAAAGGCATCTATCATGTCCTGGCTTAGCCTAAATGGGTTTTCTCACTTCATCAGCACAGTAATCTATCAGGTAAGGATGAGGTGGGAGAAGTGAGGCACAGAGCAGTTAAGGAACATTCGAGGTGGGAGAAGTGAGGCACAGAGCAGTTAAGGAACATTCCAGGATCACACAGGCAGTGGCGAGGCCTTGGTGCTCCAGTCAAGGCAGGCTGGAGTGAGACCTGATGTTCCCCATCCGTGCTTTTGAGGTATTGTTCACAGAACGGTGGGTCTGACCTCTCTAGGTGCCTCAGCCTGCTCTGGGGTCAAGGTGGGCTTGATATGCCCCAGCTGCTCGGCTCGCGGCCCCACTGTTTTGAGAGCACTGGTGTGGGTGACTTGGGTTTCCTCGCAATGACAGCCGCCCTGTCTACGGGGTGACATTCCCCAAGCCAGGATTGAAGGAACCAAGGGGTCCTCCAGACCTCCTTGACCAGAGCCCTTGGGTACTTGTGGAAACAAGGATGGCTTCAGCCTCTCTTCATTTAGAAACATCTGGTTGCACCTCATCAATCCCTAGCTGAGGGTAGAGTTGGAACATTAGGCTTTAAACCGTCTTTCTTGGTTTGTGGGAGCCAGTGTGAGATGCTGAGATGGCGCAGGGCTGGGGTAGCACTCCCTCCTGGTATCACCCCCCGCCTCATTGGTCATCGCCGTGAGGGCTCGTCCTTCTCGCCCTCTCCCCACCATCCAACCTTCAGAAGCCAGGCTCAGAGCCTGACCAGACACGCTGATGCAGGCCTGAACTGCAGGGGTCCCTCAGCCTCGCCTGCCCCGTCCTCTGGGACAAGCCCTTCCTCGTGTCTTAGGAGACTAGGGCAGGGGCCAAGCGGTAAAAGGAGGAGCCCGTTGGTGTCCACACAAAGTGCTCACATCCGTCTGCTCTGTACTCACAGTGCGATCCAGCCTTGCTGCCCGAGCCCAATCACGTCATGTTGAACCACCTCTACGCTCTTTCCATCAAGGTAATGAACCTGTTAGAGCTGTGCTTTGAGAAACGACAGGAGGACCCCTGGCCTCCAGTCATGGGGGGTGAGGGGTGCTTCAGGACTGGACTCCAGGGCAGCTTTCAGAACCTGATGCAGACCCGCGAGGCTAGGTTCTGAAGGCGGGCCCCGGGTCAGTGTTGTCATTAAACACCTCGGAAGATCTCTGTGCTCAGTGGCGTCGGGGAGCCCGGCTGAGCACAGCCACTGCTGCCTCTGACCATTTCCCATCTCCTGTGCCTAGGACGGGGTGATGGTGCTCAGCGCCACTCACCGGTACAAGAAGAAGTACGTCACCACCTTGCTGTACAAGCCCATATGAAGAGCGGCGGCAGCCAGCGGCCGCAGGGACAGCTGGCACCAGCAGGCTGCACGTGTGCATGCTTTACACGAGGAACGGACTGGACATCCTCATTTCACACTCTAAGACATTTCCTACCTGCCCACGTCCTACCTGAAGGTTAGCCCCAGGCACAGGCAGCTCCAGGAGAGCATCTGTCTGCAACAGTCCTCACCCAGCCGCTGTGAATCTCAAGGTCAAGATCAGAGCCACAGAACCTGGAAGACCTGCATCCACCACACATTGTGAGGACAAGTGTCCTTCTAAGCACCCATCCTCCCAGCGGGTCCTGGGGAAGCTCCACACGCCAGAAACGAATGCTGGAAAAACACAGGGAAGCCGGGGCCCGAGGCCACACGAATCCCCTAATCGCGTGTGCATCTTCAAGGCCAGCTTGCCCCTGTGGCAGCCAGGCTGTGGCGCTGACAAGACGTCCAGTATTAGTCTGGCCTGTCTTTGGTTGATCAAAGCAATAGATTCTCTCCCATTCTGTCCTAGGGAGGTGAAATTTCTTTAGAAATTACAACCTGTCTGATTTCCAGATGATGTTTTACAATTTTTTTCTTAGCCTTCTATGTACTTTTTCCCTTTTAAAAAAAAATCCAACCCAAGAGGTGATTAACTCTATCTTTAAGGCAATTTTTCATTCACCGCCTAGAACTCACATCATGTGAAATGTTCTCAGCAATAATCCGTTCTCAGAACAGAACTTCTGACACCACTGCCGGCCTCCTGGCAAGCTGGACAATCCTAGGGACGGCCCACAGGAGGCTGTCCAGCTAGCGTTTAGGTCACAGTCAACTGATGATGCTACGATAGAAATTGTGGCAGCACCCTCCTCTTCGAATTACACCAGGTCACCTTGCACAAGACCTCTGCCACTAGTTAGCCAAGGGGGCTGTGGAACGTCCTCTTGCCTCTGGAGAAAAGAATCCTTATAGGTGCATATCAGGACAGGATCTTTGGACACAAGTGCAGACTGGGCCTTGCGTCCATGGGCTCCGTGCCTGGGGTACTGTCCGCTGGCAGAGCACAGGATCCAGCTGCTCAGGTCGCAGAAGGGGTCTGATGGCTGTGTTCCAGCTGTGAGGGGCCAGAATGAGGTGCCTGGCTTCCAGTATTTATTTGGTTAAACCTGAATTTGAAGTACCCATTTTTGTTATTGTTTGCAAAACACTGAATGACTGTCACCTTGTATTATAGGTTTCAATAAAACTTTTTCAAGTTAACAGACCATGCATGCAAGTGCCATTTCATCCGGTCGTCTGGAGGCTGGAGGTTCACAGTGCTTTTAACACACCTTGGTACCTTGGATGTGGTAGGTGGGGCAGTGAATTGATAAGGGCACCTCAAAGGCTGAGGGCCCTCTCCAGGGACCCACACAGTTCAGAAGCTTAGTAAGGGACCTCTGAAGCTACCCAGGAGGATGCTGTAGATGATGGGTCTGGCAGGTTCCAGCCTTTGGCAGGCTTCTCTCCTGGTCAGATGAAAGCAGCCTCTTGCTTTGCACTGTTTAAGTCCCCAGACTTAGCTAGCTTCAGAGCTGTTATCAGTGGCCCGTTAACTCAGTGTCCCAGAGAGCCTGGAGAGGGAAGGTTCCGGTGTGCGTCCCTCTCGGGCACTGGAACATTTATACTGTGGTGGGAAGGCAGATCTCTGAGTGGTGGGCTCCACCTGGGGAGTTGTCCGGAGAGCATTCCAGGATGGATACCTTCCAATCTCCCCTAAAGCCCTGGGTGATGGGGGGCAGTGTTAGGAGGGAGGAGGGGCTACTGTTGAGTCCCATCCACCCAGACTCAGCAGTGAACCCATGACAAACCTAGAGGTGGCTGTCCACAATGACCAGCTGGACAGTGCCACAGGACCACAGGACTCTCTTGGCTAAGGGACTGCTTAAGTCAAAGGAAAACAGACACAAAGGCTATTCCCAAAGCCAGCTAAAATGTTTTCCAAATACAATTAAAATACACAGCTAAGGTCAAAGTATACAAAGGAGAATGATGTCTGAGCCTGTTGCTGAGTTCTGAGCACCAGCTGACCCGGTGGGGTCGCCCTCATGGGTAGGTGCCTACCTGCATGAATTACCCCACGGCTGGGCTTTGTCTGAGACCAGCAACTGCTGTCTGGCTACTGTCAGAAGGGAGTCCGAAAGGAACTGTCAGCCCCAGGCCAGAGGTGCAAGCCAGCAAGCTGGAAAGAACAGCAGGTAAATTAGCTTCCCCAGCAGTGCAGAAAAACCCCAGATGGCACATCCACTGTGGAAACTAGGTCGGTGCCAGACACCTCCACAGCCAGGGAGACTGGGGGAGCGTGACCCTGGTGGTGGAGGAGGACACACAACCACGAATCGTGTCTAAGGGGGCGTCCTGAAGCAGATCTGAAACCATTCATGGCCTGGCAACACTGCCCCCAGACCCGGATGGAAGACCTCCCGACAGCTGAAGGTAATGGAGAATCTTCAGGGCAGTGGAGAAGGAAACCCTGCCTTGCTCAAATCTTGGGGTCCCCACCAAATCTGGAATGGGGTGTCCCAGGTCCTGGTGTCCTAAGACCCACGCACTGCTGGAAATTCCATTGGAGTTTCCTTTCTGGGCGAGGACGGATTGATTGCACAGTTAAAGTTTAACTCAAAATTGCTTTTCAGTGGAGGATAGATTTTTTCTTTCTCTTCCAGAAAATGACACAGAGGTGAAGTGACATTGAAGGTTGTAAGGCCTTTGTTTATATAAGAACCATGTCGTATAATAAACAGAGTCAAAGATCAAATTGTTTTTTTTTTTTTTTTCGTTGCAGAAGCTTTATTGAACAAAAGAAAATGGCGAATTGGCCAAAGATCAAATTGTTAAAACCAAAGATCAAAGGACCCTGGCAAGGGGGCCATCCCCCCTCCAGCTTCACTAAGGGGTGGTGTTATGTACCCCTGAATGGGAACTGTTATAGCTGACCCTCCAGGTGGTTTTCAGAGGCTGTAAATCTTGCTCCCACGGAGCCACTGGTGGACTTGAACTATTTGCTTCTGGGTTGGCAGCACAACTCTTTACCACGAGGTCACTGAATTCCCTACAACAGTGTTGTTTACCATCGAGTCAGAACCAACCCATAGCTGACCCTCCAGCAGGTTTTCAGAGGCAGTTGCCCATCCTTCTGCAGAGCAGCTGGTGGATTTGAACTACGTGCCTTTGGGATTGCAGTGCAGCTTCTTGCCACTAGCCCATAAGAGCTCTCTACTTAAAAAGAGTGGTCATGTTGTTATGTGCCGTCGAGTCATTTGCGACTTACAGTGACCCTATGTACAGCAGCCCTAAACCCTGCTCTATCCTGTGCCAATCGCACTGCCTCTGACACACCCATCCCGATTACCCCAGTCACTGAATC